TGGGAGGGAAGGCGCGTCGGAGGCATGGGAGTGTCCTTCCTTCATCGGTGTGCTGGAAACGCGGGTACTTTACGGCTGTGTTCATCGGGCTGTACACTCACCATCTGAGCACTGTCCTCTACACACATGGTTAGGGGCCGGCACGCGGCACAGTGAGTTAAGCTGCTGCCTGCAACACGGGCATTCTGTGTCAGAGTGCTGGTTCAAGTCCTGGCTGCTCCACTTCCAATTTAGCTCCCTGCTAACGTGCCTGCCAAGAGAGTGGAAGATGGCCCCAAGTAACTGGATCCCTGCCACCCATGGGGGAGACCTGGATGAAGCTCTGGGCTCCTGGTTTCAGCCTGGACCAGGCCCAGGCATTGCAGCCTTTTGGGGAGTGAACCAGGGGATGGAAGATTGATCTCTATGTCTCTGTCTTGATCATTCTGCCTTTTGATGAAAATCTTACACGTATATTATTCTTCAGTAACAGTGGACTGTGAATGGAGACCACTCAGTTTCAAGACCAAAGCATCAACTGTTTCGGGCAGGGGAAGCCATTCTCTCCCTCCCATCACCTCCATTATCTTCCAAGCACTTTGCAGAGCTGTATATGTATACCTTCCAGCCCTAGAAACTCATTGCTTAACACAAGCTGCACCTCCCTCACACAGCAGGGAGGTACAGACGCCCTCCCTGGGTAACCTAGGAACAGAGTGCCATGTGAGGAGGGGGGAAGGAGACTAGAGCTTTGAGACTTGTTCCCCAGACACAAGCTAACAGTGATGAAGAACACAGTCTTCGGCACCCACCCTACTCCGGGCTGAGCTGGGAAGGCGGCCTGTTAGGCTCCAAGCCAAGGTTCCCATTCATTCCTCAGAGGCAGATTTATGGGGCACGATGGGATTCCCCCTGGGCTATGGAAGCAACCAGGGTTTAAATCATGGGCTTGCTGCCAATTGCCCCCGTAACATTACACCAAGTTCCAAGGAAAGGGGAAGTCATTATTGCCTGCTTTGCAAAGCAGCCACTGACACACTGACACACTGACACACACACACACACACACACACACACCAACATTAGACTGTAAGCTCCCCTAGGGTAGGGACTTCGTTCTGCTCATTGCTGTAGCTGCACTTCTAGAACAGTGCCTGACACGTGCAGACGCTAAATATATGTTTACTCAGAGAATGAAATGTAAAGAGGGCACAGCCCAGAGCAGAGGGCTCCAACAGAAAAGGGAAGTTTTACACCAAAAGCTGACATGAGCAAATCTGTCCTGTTAACTCATGCTCAGTCAGATTCAGGAACTCTGAAGGTTCCTACTGAAGCTGGCAATGGTCGTCAGCCTTCAGTCTTACCCAAAAGCTGACTTCCGGTCAAATGAACCTGCCAGGGAGTCAACATGGAGTCCCGGGGTCTGTCTTACTGCCACTGAGCTGTCTCTCTCAATTCTTTGTCAGCAAGGACTGGAAGATCACTGTAGGTCACTTTTTTTTTTTTTTTTTCCTTTTTCCAATTTTGTCTATTTGAAAGGCAGAGACACAGGGAAAGATCTCCCACCAGCTGATGCACTCCCCAAATGCCCACAACAGCTTGGGCCGGACCAGCCCAAAGCCAGGAAATGTGAACTCCATCTGGGTGAACTCCACGTGGGCGGCAGGGACTCAGGTACTTGAGTCACCCCTTGCTGCCTCCCCGGTGTGCATTAGCAGTACGCTAGGACTCGAAGCACAACCAGGATTCAAACGCAGGCACTGCAATACGGGATGTGGTCCTGACCACTGTGCCAAATGACCATCCTCACCCAATTTTAATCCCTGCACTGACACCAGGCGAGTTCCCTCCTCCCACCTCTCCCTTGTCTTTGCTTGCAGACACACGCGAGGTGAAGGAAGGGGACCCCAGACTGTGGGGCTGGCGGGAGGGAACACTCCTGCGCTGCTTCCCCCCACGCTGACCTCTCACTCTTGAGTGAGCGAGTCAAGCCCCACAGTTAGGACCCTGGAGACCCTCTCCAGGCCAGTTCTTTACAGGAATGTTTCTGGAAAACCCTAGGACAAAAAGGGAGAAGCAATTAGGTGGTCTTGGGGCTCGGCTGTTGTTGGTGACTGGGATCCCACTTCTTCCTTCCACCCACCTCCTGCTCCCTGGTAGTAGAATAATGCCAGGGGCACTGTGACACAGCAGGGTGAGCTGCTGTCAATGCTGGCATCCCACATAGGCGCCAGTTGAGTCCCAGCTGCTGCACTTGCAATCCAGCTCCCTGCTAATGCACTGGGAAAGCAGTGGAAGATGGCCCTAGTGCTTGGGCCCCTGCACCCTCATGGGAGACCAGAGTTCCAGGCTTCTGGCTTTGGCCTGTCCCAGCCCCAACCATTGTGGCCATTTGGGGAGTGAACCAGCAGATGGAAGATCTCTTTCTCTCTGTAACTCTGCCTTTCAAATAAATAAATAAGTCTTAAAAGAAAAACGCCAGGGAATGTGGGAGTCCGAAACTTCCATTCATTCCCACCTGTTCACTACAAAGATAACCACTAAGGTTTCATCTGTAAAATGGGTCGACATTCACAAGGTTGTCACTATTTATGTAAATACCTACTGGGAATCCTTTTAAGTTCTAGGACCTGGGCATAACCCAAGAGGGAATAGTAGCGTCTGTGACCTCCAGAGAAGTTCATGAGCCATTTATGCCACTGAGTTGAACCCATTCAGCTGTGCCTCTGCTTCACCTTTCAAACCTCAGGGCAGGGCTGGGCTCTGGGGTTTCTGAAGTTCCAACTCTGAGATTAAGAGCTCAAGTTGTTTAACATTTACCATACCTGCTTCAAGGGACTGCTAGGAGGACAAAGCAAGCTCGGAGCTGTAGAAGGGCTTTGAAGAAGATGACGCACAAAGCATTAATTATATCAGATTATTTCTTTGAGCTCGACTTCATAGACACCCGTAATATTCACGCCCAGGGGCAAACAACAGTGGCCACTGTTCCCTAGCCACACGGAAACTGTTGGTGGCCAAAGCTGAGAGTCTATATGTGCCTGCAGGATAACCAGCCCTGGGCCTTCTGCGTCTTGAGGATGGGGAGAGGGGTGGAGGCAGAGAGCTAGAAACATGGCAGCTGTGGGAGCCATTGAAGACTAAGGCGAGAAATGCCAGTGTTTTTTGGTTTGGGGGGGGGGGCCCAATCCCAGAAACTCCCTTTTACTTAAAAAAGAAAGTGGAGGGCCCATCTCAGGCAATACAGGTGACCCAAGCAAGACCCAAGCCACGCATGGTAACCCACCCTTTACTTAATGGCCCAGGTGTGTTTCGGCACGAAGCCAGCATTTTCACCAGCATAAACCAGACATCCAAGAAAGCTGAATTTCCTCAAAAGGTTTAAAATGCCTGACGTCACCGGGAAGCACTCGCCAACTCAACCATGAAATCGAAAACCTGATCACCGCTCCCCCCACCACTGCCACAAACTGAAGCCTAGCGGTGCCGCTAATCTGATATTTCTTGCTTCAGTGAGAAAGATAAGGCACAGACAACACTCAACTCCACAGCCTCCTCCAGGACTACAGTAGAGAACTTGACAATGGGTGTGTGTGTGTGTGTGTGTGTGCACACGCAGATCTTGCAGGGGTCTGGTTAGCAATAAAGCTTCCTCAGGGAGCCGGAATTGGATTTGGGGCTCTGCCCAAGTTAACATTTTCACAGGTTGGCTCCGTTGCAAGTTTGTTAGCCAGCCAGTAATAAACCCATGTGCAAGAATTTAAAGTTTATGAGGCACGGCCTCTTAATGCCTCTCCTGGGCTCCCCACAGCCTGAGGTTGAGGGAGGCTGGCCTAGCCTGGGTGTTAATTGTTTCGTCAATCTGCAGAGTTATTTGGGAAAAGAATTTTTTAAAAAGGCTCACATGGACTCCAGGCGCCCAATCCTCTTTGAGAAACAAAGGAGAGTGGTTCTGCCCCTTAGGAACTGACACCTCCACACTGGAGCTGCAGGGTGAGGGGCGTGTGGATGGCGGCAGGGCTCTGAAAGCTATAGATCCCCTCCCCCAGAAAGATGCACACCCAGGTTCTCAAACAATTTCACAATTCCGCACCCTCTGGAGCTCCACCCTTGGATTCTGCCTTCCACCCCTGTTTAAGAACTGGGGTTTGATCCCCTGGGGGAACCCCAAAAGTCCTCTCCACAGCAGGAAAAGAGCCCCCCATCAGGAGCAGTTGCCAGGATCTCACAATACACTGGTTTCCCGCAAAAGTGTGACCCCAGCTCTCAAGTTTTTTGAACTTGAGGACAAGTAACTGGAAGATCAAAAATGTGCTTTGATCTCCCATCCACCCCCCTCCAGCAGGCCTGCTGGCTTGGGGCACCCCCACCCCCATCCCCAGTGACCTAGCTTCTCAGCCCCAGGACGCGGCGTGGGGTGAGGGGGATGCGGTGTCCACCCTTCGTGATGGTCCCTGCCCAGGTGTGCCAGGCCCGGTTTGCCGGCAGGCTGCGGGGGCGCAGGGCCTCCGGGAAGGGCAGGGTTAAGAGTGCATTCCAGCTGCCCGGGGAGAAGGGGGGCGGGGGAGGGGAGCGCGGAGAAGAGAAACAGACCCGTTCTGTAAGTCGGAGACACAAAGCACGGTTCACAAAGGGGGCCCGAGAGGGGCGCAGGGGGCTGCTCCGGGCACGGCTCATCCCCACACCTGCGCGGGGGTTGGGGGAGGAATGTGGACGGCGCATTCCTTCGCTGGGGCCGAAGGGGGAGAGCTTCCCACGTCGAGGCTGGGTGAGGGGCTCAGCCGCCCCGAGCTCAGGGGTCAAGGTAAGCAGCGGCTGGGGGGCAAGGAGGGGCGCTATGCTGTCCGACCATCCCCCGCGCCGAGATCCTGTCTGCCTCTCCCAGAGATCCGAAGTGGAGCCAGAAGCGCCCCCCACCCCCGCCTTCCTCGCCTGGACACCCTCGCGCGGGCCACAAGGAGCGCACCGCGTGTTATCCCCACCTCGGGGCTCCACCTGGGACGGCTCCTGGAGGGTCTTACCTTTCTCCACTGCCTGGCCTGGCTTCAGCTCCGCGCCTCCTGCCTCCAAGGTCACTTCAGCCTCCCCGAAGCCCGCCCGGCACGGCTCAGAGGCTGCGCACCGCAGCCAGCAAATCTGCGCCTAAGGGCAGAGTGGGAAGCGGGACGCTGAGACCAGCGTGCCCAGCTCTGCACACCCACCCCGGGGAGTCGTCCCAGGGGCCCCGGGCATCCGCTGGTCCCAAGGAGCACAGCCCCGCGCTCTTCCCGACGCCACCGCCGCGTGCTGACCCCGCCCGTTTTCCGGGGAGCAGCCCTGTCCCGGGCAAAGGCCCCGCGGGGTTTTACCTGGAGGAGGAGAAGGAGGGTCGCGAGAGGTCCACCTGCGAGCCCCATGGCTGGACAGCGAGGGGTGACAAGGCTGCTGCGACGGCGGGGCGGTGCAGCGCTGAGGTTTGGGCGCCCCTCTGAGCCGCGCAGCTCTCCCGGGCCAGCGGGAGGAGGCCAGGTGAGCGCAGGTGGGTGCTGATTGGTCCAGAGCCACAAGGCCCCGCCCTCTCGCAGGTGGGGCCGCGGCCGGCGTGGTCCCGCACCTCCGAGCCGCCGCTGCCCTCCCCGGTGCCCTCCTCGCTTCCCCTGGCTCTTCTGGAGTTGCTTCAGGCAGGAGACTCAGCCCGTCTCTCAGGTTCTGGGTTCGAGACCGCTTCTCTCCCACGCCTCCGAAGCTCGAGGAATGTTTCCTTGCCTTGCGGCTACCGCGGGGAAAAAGTGGAGGCGCAAGTATCTGAAGCCGCCTGAAACCAGAGGTTCCCCATTCGTCTCCCCCGAGGCGCCCGTTAGCCAGAGCTGGGATGGAGGTGGGCGTGCCCCCGCCCCGCACCCCCGGCTGCAGCGGGCGCTGCCCCGGGCCTCGCTCCCCCCGCCTGCCAGCCCGCGCGGAGTACCTGGGGTTGCAACCTGGCAGTGAGGGCCCGGGGGACCGCGCTGCAGAACCTGACACAACTCGCTGGAGAGCCGTTACTTCCGTTCCACAGCGAACAGACGGAGCCTGGGAGTAAAGGGTTTGGAGCCGCAGTGGTGCCAAAGGGTGAGGGGCAGAGTTTATGGTTATCAGCCCCATAATCTCCACCACTCCCGCCCCCAAATAAATAATGAACACGTTCTCAAACCTGTTGTAAAATGTAAATAAAAGCAGTGTTAAAGCCGCGGCTGTTTTTGCTGGCCTGAGATACCGTATATAATCTAAGTAAGCAGCCTTCCGGGAGTCCCCCTGGGGAACAGCTCTGCTGTGTCCTTCCTGGGAGACGAACCCGTAACTGGGATTCCTGCCTTGCCTTCCTCTCATTCCACCAAGACAGGCTTTCCTCTTTCAATTTTTAAGAAATTAACTTATTTTCATTTTATTTGAAAAACAGGACGGAGACAGCATCCGCTTGTAATACGCGGAGAGACCTGGGCTTAGAAACGGCCCTGACACTGGAGCCATGGCTCCAGCCCTGGGCTGAGCTCTGTTCCCACCCCCTGGGTCCCCAGCCCCTTGTTCACCCTGTTACCTTGAGAACCCCAGGATGCACCTCCTCTTCCCTCTCCCTCCCCCACCCCTAGATAAGATTTAGGGGCATGGGGGGCACACTGGTGTCTTCAATGAGAGATTCTTAGGCCTTCAGTCTGGCCTGGTTACTTACTCCTCCTCCCAGGCCTGTGGCTGGGGGGTGGGGGGTGGGGCCTTTGCTGCCACAGTGGGAGTCTCTCCCAAGCTTAGCACCTACTGGGGCCGGCACAGCCTCGGTTCAAACCTGGCAAGTGCAGGGATCCCTTTGGGCTCAGTTCTGAGTCTGCCAAAAGGGGCTACAGTGCTACTAGGATAAGATGCGTTAACGCATGGAGAGGATGGGGGAGTAAATTAGCGCCTGAAAAATGCTGAGCTTGGCACCTGGCGGAGCAAGGGCCCGCATGCGGCCTGGTGTTCTAACCTAGGATCTGGCTCATTTGGCCTCCTCTCTCCGGTCTAGCACCGCCACATTCCCCAGCTAAGAATGAGAAGCGTTGTAATCCTTCAATTTCACGGCTGAGAGTAAAGCGAGCAACCGGCATCTGTCTTCTGGGGAGCGCTCGTTCTCCAGCGGGTGGTCCCAGAGCTGGGGGTGGGGGTGGACACCGCGTAGCGAGAAAGCCCAGGGCAGCTCGCCCAGCTGCTCGCCTCCCTCGCCCGGCTCTCCCGCAAGGGGCCGGACCCCAAGGAGAAGTTAGATGCCCGCGCACAGGCGCTGCGCCCTGGCACAGGCCCCAGACCGCCCGGGGTGGCCGGGCCTATCCTCGCCTCGCGGGTTCCCCCGCGCCCGCCCGAGCCTAGAGCCAGACGGAGCCATTAGGCGGACAGTTAAACAAAAACGGAGCCTCGGGATGCAGGCCCTAATTAAGTAAACACTCGACTGGAGGGCTGTTGAGCGCGCTCATTTCCGCCTGTTTCCCGAGCACTCAGCATTCTGGGCGGGGGCGGAGCGAGCAGCGCAGGACTGAGTGTCAGCTCCTCTGCCAGCCACTTGGACCGCACGCTGCCTTCTCCATAGCTCCCCTGGTCCGTCGTTCGTTCATTCATTCGTTGGACAAATATTTGCTGGTAGCCCGCGATGGGCCTTGCGCTGCAGATTTAAGAGGGAACAGAACAGAGACATCCCTGCACCTGCACCTTTCAACTTCTAGAAACAGTGTGGAGGGCAGGGGAAAGCCAACATAGAAGTAAGGAGGCTCTGTCAGTCGGCGATGCGTGCTGTGGGCAGGAGCAAGGACGCCGTGGAAGTGCAGATCCACCGGACGGGAGGCGGGGTGGGAACGTCGGCCGGAAGATGCTTCAAGTCAGGTCTGGCAGGAAACAGAATCCAGCCCACGCAGGCCCATGGGCAGTATAAGGTCTGTGAAATCATTTGGTCCGGCTCTGCCAAGGCAACCGCAGGCGAGGCTCAAAATTCAATAAATCTATAGCAGGCTAATTTTTGAGTTGATAATTGAGTATGGCCCGAGAATGACGTTATAAACATGCAGAAAAGAGGTTCTTGGCTCCTGCATGGAGAGGTCTTTGTCTTTTTTTTTTTTTTTTAAGATTTATTAATTTATTTGAAAGGTAGAGTTACAGAGAAGTAAAGGCACAGAGAGATCTTCCATCTGCTGGTTCTCTCTCCCAAAAGGCTGCAACAGCTGGAGTTGTGCAGATCCGCAGCCAGGAGCCAGGAGCTTCTTCCAGGTCTCCCACATTGGTGCAGGGGCCCAAGGACGTGGACCATCTTCTACGGCTTTCCCAGGTCACAGCAGAGAGCTGGATCGGAAGTGGAGCAGCAGGGACTTGAACTGGCGCTCATAAGGGATGCGGGGCATTGTAGGTGGCAGCTTTACCTGCCTGCTACACCACAATGCCAGTCCCAGGTCTTTGTCTTTTAATTAAACTTGTTTCTAACTGACATGATCTAAGTTGTAGAAGAGACCTTCCCAAGGTCAGGAAGGTATCTGTCCTGGGAATGAAATGTGGTTGTTATCTGCTTGCCCAAGAATGCTTCAACTGTAGTCCCTATCTGCTTATATGTAACCATTTCAGGTTCTGCTCATTAGTACGGAGCAACGTGTTAACCCTTGCCAGACAGCAGACGGCTCAGTATGTGTGTGGAAAAAAAACTTCAGTAACTATGTTCCCATGTGCAGTATTTTATCAATCCTGTGGCTGCCATGTAACATTAGAATATCCAATCAAATGTATGCAGGTAACCATATAAGGGAGACAAAGAGGCTAAAACCATATATAAGGGAAAACACTTCTTTGTTCCGGGCTCAGGATTTTGGATAAGAAATTCTACCTGAGCCTTATGCTGGCATAATAAAAGACTATTTCCTGTTAAAAGGCCTTGGTGTCTTATCTCGGTACACAAACCCTGCTACATTTTCCTGGAGGCTTGTTTGGGTTTGGATGGTGGGTTTTCTACCTCCTTTGCCTCCAGAGGTGTGGGACCCCTAGCACGGGGGGTAGAGTGAACCCCCTTACCGCTGTTAGACCCCTTGCTCCCCGGAGGGTGGGTCTCCCTCAGCGTGCAGGGACTCCAACCTTGGGAGCACAATGGAACCTGGTGGGCACAGGAACCAGTCTCAGGAGCACCGCCCATCGTTATAGGTAAGAACCCAGGTTCCGCTGGTTTGAAGGACTGCCACGAATGGCAGAACGGGATCCTGAGCCACTCCAGAGTTGCCTGGTAATTTTGTAAGATGCTGGAGTGGAGCGCAGGGAGGAAACCACAGCTTTCAGGTTTCAGGTACTGGGCAGTGGGCTGGTGACTTCCCCCAGGCTCCCAACTCTGACCAGCAGAACAGAGCTTGGCAAGCAGCCAGGCAGATTGTGGGTGGCCTGAGGGCCACACTGGGGCCAGGGCCCTGTGAGGGGCAGGGCATGAGCAGAGCAGACTCTGCACATTCATGGGATCTGTAAAGAAAAATCCCATCCGCCGCTTCCAGTGAGCGCCCTGACATCACTGGCGTGGTGTGCAGCAGCAGGTGCAGGAAGCTGGGGGAGGCGGAGTCTTCCCTGCTTGGGGCTTCTTCTGGGTGCCCGCCTGTCTTGGTGCTGAGTTTTCAGACGCTATCTTCATTGATTGTCATGGCCTCCTGCATGGGGTCAGGTTGGCCTTGCAGAGCTAGAAGCCCGTGCCCAGAGAGCCTTGGTGATGTGGTATTGTTAGTGGAGATGGTGAAACAGGTTCTGGTCTCCGTGCAAAAAAGGGTTCTGATGTAAGACAGAAAATTGGTAAATAAAACAAACAGCTGGGAGGCCAGGTAGGCAGTTCAAAAAGCTGAGAGCTGAGCAAACAATCTGTATTCACACTGGGGCTTACAAGGGAGTGGAGTCCAGTTCTTCCCAATGTTTCTCCTTACCCTGTTCTGTTTCCTCTAGGAAAGAGTGTACTGAGTGTAAATTAAGTAAAATTACCTCCAAAATGTTAAAGGGACTATCTTGATTCAACTCAGTCTCTGACCTTGGGACTTCCAGTTGGATTCATAGAACTCCCAAATGATAAACATGGTATGGAATTGACTTTTTTTTTTAAGATTTATTTATTTTTATTTGAAAGGCAGAGTTACAGAGAGAAAGAGATCTTCCATCTGCTGGTTCACTCCCCAAATGGCCACATGGTTGGGGCTGGGACAGGACAAAGCCAGAAGCCTGGAACTCTGGTCTCCCATGAGGGTGCAGGGGCCCAAGCACTAGGGCCATCTTCCACTGCTTTCCCAGTGCATTAGCAGGGAGCTGGATTGCAAGTGCAGCAGCTGGGACTCAACTGGCGCCTATGTGGGATGCCAGCATTGACAGCAGCTCACCCTGCTGTGTCACAGCGCCCCTGGCGTTATTCTACTACCAGGGAGCAGGAGGTGGGTGGAAGGAAGAAGTGGGATCCCAGTCACCAACAACAGCCCAGCCCCAAGACCACCTAATTGCTTCTCCCTTTTTGTCCTAGGGTTTTCCAGAAACATTCCTGTAAAGAACTGGCCTGGAGAGGGTCTCCAGGGTCCTAACTGTGGGGCTTGACTCGCTCACTCAAGAGTGAGAGGTCAGCGTGGGGGGAAGCAGCGCAGGAGTGTTCCCTCCCGCCAGCCCCACAGTCTGGGGTCCCCCTTCCTTCACCTCACGTGTGTCTGCAAGCAAAGACAAGGGAGAGGTGGGAAGAGGGAACTCGCCTGGTGTCAGTGCAGGGATTAAAATTGGGTGAGGATGGTCATTTGGCACAGTGGTCAGGACCACATCCCGTATTGCAGTGCCTGGGTTTGAATCCTGGTTGTGCTTCCAGTTCTAGCATACTGCTCCTGA